ATTATTATTATTATTGTTATTTTCCACATCTCTGAACCATACGTCACATGCAGTCAAAATACATGCCAATGTATTGAATTTCGTCTTCAATGAAATTATCTTTGACTTCGATATTATAATTTTTTATTTCACAAAAGCGATCCATGCATTTTAAAGTCTTTGGTGGACGTCGTCAAGGCAGTCTGCAGTTTTGGATAATTTGCCAAGCTATTTTGAGTTTACTCATTTCTGCAAAGGTGTCTGGGCGTAGTTTCTGATAGTAGTCGTAGTAGATACAATTTAATATAAGTACAATCTTTTCCGCAACTTTTGCTGGTTCGTCTGTTTTTGATTGCATTTCATGCATTGTGGTGTTTAACAGGCATATTTATTATTATTTTTTATTTTATTTAGTAGAGGTTTTAGAGCGCTCGCATAACTGCATTAGGTCATATGAGCGCCGCAGATTTATACTCGTTCACTTAAAACTGACAGTTGTCCGTATTCTCTTTATGATGAGAAAACAATACATTTGATTCAGTTTTGCTGAAAAAGATAATTGATCTACTTCTTTCTTTGTGATCTTTAACTCTTTAAAGCATATCGGATACATGCAGCAGAACATAAGCAGTGTTCTCGGAATGTTTCAAGCCATCATTCTTGAATCAGATACAGGAATTTGCATCATATTTCACAGAATACATGTTATTATTGCCTATCGTTTTATATTTCAGAGGAGGAAAACAGAATTGAAGAATCTGTGTGAATGTACGTTCCAAAGCAACTTAACGTGTGTCTTCACCGTTGTTGTCGAATGACCAGAACACGCGTCTTCAACGAGTTAAAAACTCGCAAGCACACGAATTTTGTCACCAGCGGGCAGCAGAATCACGATAGTAGCTCAGCTGTTTTTAATGATGCTGTTGATTTTTGTAGCTCTGGCCGCACGCTATACGACCCACCAACGAATAAAATTTTCGTTTACAAGCATTGCTCGTAAAAATTATATCAATTTCGGAAACACCGGAACAAAATGAACTATAAATTCCTAAGTGTAGAATTCTGTGCTAGAATGTTATGGGGACTCTTTTTTTGGACCTCTGAGGATCACAATAAAACGTGTTTTGTTGTTGTTGTTGTTGTTGTTGTTTTTTATAACAAAGATTGCAGCATATTATGTATAATTTAATGTTTTATATGTCCTTGTCCTCGAGACGACGGTGCCAGTTTCAACTGAACGTGTAATCTTAACATTAAAATGATTTTTAATAGTAGGCCTATTTGGTTGAAGAAAAAAAGCAGCATACATATAACAAAAAGATCGTAACTTTATACATTTGTACGGGGAGCGTCGGGCCGATCGCCCGACTCGGTGCCTGAAAACAAACGACCCGTCGAACCTTTAAACTGAAACGCACAGTCGTAAACTCAGGGATGCCCATATTACAGCGGGTCGGGTCGATCCTATCCGTAGCACCCACAGAACACCAAGTATTGGTCTTCTGTGGTAGCACCCCGTTGTCATAGGCCGAGAGGCGGTGTAGGTTCTAAAGCTGTGACAGATTGTCATTTCTTATTTCGCGTGTTACTTGGAGGGATCGGGTTGAGATCATTTCTTTCTCAGGACTCATTATGCTATTCCGTTGCCTTTAGTACGCGTAGGCTAGCTAGCATATCTTTAGCCTAGGCTAAAGGGTAGGCTATAGATCGATGATATTTGATATTGTCAGGCGATACTTAAAATAGACGACGGGATTATTCAGTTGACCCATATTTCAACTTCCGGTTTTAGAATCAAAACAAGAAAATAATGAAAGCTTTTCGTTTGATAAAGCGTGAAACATAAAGAACTTTTACTAATTATGTGATTTTCACGGGTACACGAAGGACTGGTCCTCTTGTCGAAATACAACCATTCGTCATGTCTGATTCTTCACCCAGTATTTCACATAAGGACGATGCTCAAGAAAAGCAAAGGTATTGCTCTATTCTCAATGGCCTCGCTATTCAACAGACATGACATGTCATGATCATCAACAATGATGTCTGATTGATATAGAATCTAGATCTAGAGTAGAGTTGTAAGTAAAAGTAGGCTAGAATCTAGATCTAGATCTAGATCTAGATCTAGTTTACTAGATCCGTGGTATCATGGAGTGTAATCAAGTACAAGTATTTTGGCTGATCATTGTCATGGACATGATGGTATCTTTTACTTTTACTCCCTCCCCCCCCCCCCCCCTCTCACACTTAATGAGCAGCTAGATCTAGATCTAGAATCTAGATACTTGACCACCAGTTGTCCGTTTTCTACTAAATAGATCAAGATCTACTATTATAACTATAGGCATAGGCCTAGGCGGCTCTATTGATGCACTGAACATTAACTACTGATTCCGTCCATCATTTTTTCAGGCTCTGGACTTGTTCAGTTTTAGACCTGGGGTGCGTCTATTTTTAAAGGGAGTGTGTATACAGACCCGGTAACCGGGAACAAAGTCACAAAGTATACAGACCTGGTAGGAGAACTCTTTTGTGATTTCGGAGAGTTTCAGCGCCCTCTTGGCTCAGGGTAGACCTAGGTTCTTCTAGATCAGTGGTCTAGATCTAGATCTAGGCAGACATCTTTGATCTAGTTTCGCGGCTAGCCTAGATCTAGATCTAAATGAAGATTGCGGATGTCTTTTCGATGAACGATGGAGTTGGAGGAATCACAATTTGAAGAAAAGAACAATGTCATAATTTCAATCGAGCAGTCACCCTCTCTATTTCTCTGCCTCTCTCTCTCTCTCTCTCTCTCTCTCTCTCTCTCTCCCTCCCTCCCTCCCTCTCTCCCTCTCTCTCCCTCCCTCTCTCCCCCCCCCCTCTCTCTCTCTCTCTCTCTCTCTCTCTCTCTCTCTCTCTCTCTCTCTCTCTCTCTCACACACACACACACACACTCACTAGATTTCTACCGGGTCTGGGCGTTGAAACTTCCCGAAATCACAAAAGAGTTCCCTTACCGGGTCTGTATACTTCGTGACTTAGTTCCCGGTTACCGGGTCTGTATACACTTCGATTTTTAAATGCACTACTGTGAAGCTCTAAGTTCCTAATAGGTATTGTACCAAAGTGGTGGGAATCAATAGAAGAATTTGTTTATATCAATAACGATGACCTATAATCTGTAAGTATTGTATTTTCTGTCAGACAGAAACGAATGAAGAAAAAAAATTACGCAACACCTCTTAGAAAATTTCGACTAACGGCATTTTCTCAGCTCTGCAAGTCCTTATAATCCGTAGGAATCAACTCAAAATCTTAGCAATATCACCCTAGCACACATTTATGCAAGAATTTCACAAATTTAGTTGAATATCTTTCTTTGAAGGGCCTTTTTCTTATACCAGGCTCCGTGTTATTTACCCAAGGTTAGATCTAGCCTACATAGCGACAACAAAACAACGATTTTTGCAAGAATTTCACAGAGTTTCGATCAATTTATATGGGCGCTCAGAGATTGAGGTCAGGTTTGTTTACAAGTTCTACTTCCTTTCGACAACTTAAAAAGTAGGAACTATGTTAAAAAGTGTACATTTGTTTCGGATGTCGTTGAGCCGCTCACAGTGGTCGAATGGATGCAGCGGAAAAACTGAGAGACGCTGTCAGTGGTCGAATGGACGGAATCAGTTGATAGTCTATTTAAATCAACTTCATTTCCCTCACAAATTAGTCAGTAATTTTTAAAATATTTGATAGTTCTGAGAACTTCTTAACGGAGCTCTCTATACACTATGAGCTCAGAGATGCCTTACGGCGTAGTTAGTAATTTGCGTGCTTTGGACCTATCGGGGGGTTTCAGGGGACTATCCTCACCCGGGGTGAGAATAAAAATAGCCTACGATGGACCTCTCACCCCAGGTGAGACTTGCCAGCGTTGGCTATTCTTACCCGGTGTGAAGCAAGACCTGTTTTTCCTATTTTCGAAATAGCCCACTGTCTATCGGTGTGGGTAATCAAATTGACAAAAAAGCAAAGAAAAAATGATGTTGAAACACAAAAGTAAATTAATTTGGTCGTCTACAAAGATGATGCTACGGCTATTTAACTTTTCGAATGGAGCCGAACCACGCGGGTCGCAATTTTATTTTGACCGGAAGTTCTCGCGCTACTTCTCTCTCTCTCTCTCTCTCTCTCTCTCTCTCTCTGTCTGTCTGTCTCTGTCTCTCTCTCTCTCTCTCTCTCTCTCTCTCTCTCTCTCACTGCCCACAGACAGAATTGCACGCTTTCAACACAAGAGCGCTGGAACGTTTGTTCACAGCACAGAATTCTACATTTCTGTTATCACACTGTAGAAGTCTGTGGTTCACGATGAATGCTCCACTGGTTGGCCTATCACGGTGAACATACACGGGGTGAGAGTAGCCATAAGGCTCGCCTGCGCTATTCTCAATAGAGGTGGCCTTCAGGAAACAGGTTAAAAAAAAATCTGGGGGCATGCCCCCCTGTTTTAACCCATAATTTGATATTTCACTTATGTTTGAAATGGAGTAAAAATTTACCATAAATTCAATGATAACAATAATTATGAGTAGGGCCTAAACAATCAGTATATAATGACGGTAAATTTTTACTTTCACTCCCGCACACAGATGCACTGCTTCAGGGGTCAAACTGCACTATTGTTTGCTGCAGATCACACATAAAGCCACTAAAACTGTTGCAAATCAATTATTTTCAAGAAAATTTCAAACGTTCGTTAAAATATCAAATTATGGGTTAAACAACTGAATTTGGCGTCATCATATTATGAGTGTCGGATGACCAATTAAAAGTGCACTTTGTAGTACGTGAGTACTAATTTCAGCCTGGACTAGCAAACAAAGCTAATATCAGTCGGCTCATGCATTGCCTTTGCATTTGAGCAATGGAGAAAGATAAAAATGAAAATATTTCTATTTTATCATTGATGTTATATATGTCAGATTCTGGTGGTTGTCTGTATGTTGGGAGTGAGTGGAACACAAAATGCAGCCTGATGTGGAGTTTTGAAGTATATTTATGCATTAATTAGAGGGATTCATCTTTTCAAAATCACATTTTTTTTGTGTGACAGCAAAGTACCAAACTTTACACAACACCGACACGGGAATTCCAAGATGTATAGGGAAAATATTTATTTTAATGAAAAGCGTTATTTATATATTACGCATCAGCAAATGCAAGAAATCATAAATTCAGTCATTGTGTTTGTTTCAAACATGCAAAGAGCAGTATAGTTAGAATTAAATAATAACTTCCAAAGATTTTCTAAAATATTCTCATCTGACGCTCTATGATGACAAAAATGCCATTAAAAAACTGCTATCCTCATAATCTTAATATGTCAGTACACAACATGATGACATACCATCAAACGTCACACCATCGGATGGGAATTGGTTTTTTTAAGGCTTGATACTGGCGTAAAAAGTAGTAGAGATACCAACTTTAAACAGATGGTGTTTGTTTAAATAATATCGCTATTAGAGATTTCCTGTCATCATAGTTATTATGCATGTTGGAATCCCAAAGTGACCATCAAACACCCAAATTTCTCCCAAAATATTCACGCTGCTGTTGTACACATGGTTATTAAAAATAACATTAATTACTAATTACCCACATATTCATGTCATTGAAAGTGAAATGAAATAGTTTTTAATTTTTTACCTCTGTTACATATTTAGGCGTAAAGCGATGTTCCCTTGAGCTATATATGGTGTGACGTGTGTCTGTTAGAGGAAAATTTATGTATCTCCTGTTGGCTCCGCTTACCACTCTTTTTTTTCATGTAATCATCAACTACAACATATTGTTGTGAAGTTACATCAGTGAGATAAGACATGTCCTAAAATGCTCTAATGTTACTATGGGTTGAGAAAAAATGAGACGAAGATCTGTTGTAAAAAAAAATCACACATCATTTGAATGGCTCTGCTACGCTTCGAATTGCTATGGATAGTGCTATAATCATTAATGTTGAATAGTCGAATCAAATAGGCACAAATCTGGTCGAAGGGAGACTTCTAGTTTTTCCACTTGGTATGGTATTATAATTATCCCACCATAGTTCTTGCCCGAGCCTAAGAGAATCTGGTCCGCCTTAGACTAAAATCGTATTTTCACTTATTTTTATCCGCCGCTTATACCCTTTCGAGTGTCGCGGTAATTTTTCTTTCTTCTATTTGTGTTTTTAGCGATAAATAATGTGTTGCCGACTTGCTAGGCCTGTCACAGTTTCACCAGAGCCCCGTTAGCCTGCAACTTTTCGGGGTATCCCGGGTTCTCTTTCACGGCTAGCGTGACGCCTCAGTGGCATAAAGCCACACCGTACTTCGTTGAACCCAGCAATCCCCTACTTTGTCTAGTTTCCACCTCCCAGGATGTGAACCTGGGGTTGGGCTTTGGGAGTATTTTCACTGTGCCGTGAAATTTTGTTCTCTTTAATGAGCTTACCTCAGATTTTATTCTAAGTATTTTAATCCACCTGAAGACTACTGAGTGTCCAGTTTGAGTGGTTATGGGTAATGGATCATGCATCATGCTTTACCATAGTATTTTGCAGATGCTAAGAGGCCCTCTTCTAGACTGGACAGTACAACTTTATCAATATTCAGCTCTGGTTGTTCTTTCCCTTTAAATTCCATGGCATTGGAGCTGGTTTTGTTCCCTTGTATACATGCTGTCAGACTTAATCCTGATCATTGAAATTCCCACCGAAGCCTTATGAGCCTCTGGTTCTCTCTTGTACCCCAAACAATACAGGACAATCACATTATAGAATAAATATTTTATATTATATACTCATGTTTGACTGCTTGATGGTATTTTTTACAGCGTGACTACTGCACAGCAACATACATTTATGTCACAAATTACAATTTGTGCAGGACCTTTTTGCCTTGTCTTTGTTGGTATAGCTCAACTTAATACATTTTGTGTTTTTATCCCCCATTCTGTGAGACGTTTTACAGTCCAAAGCAGCAGCCTCTTAGTTTCATTCAATTTATACACTACTCTAATTTTGAGTAATGACATTCTTCTACACACAAAATTCTTTTGCTGTCATATGTCCAAGTACTATGTTTTAATGTTTTTCCACCTACAGCCCAGAATACTCTTCTTTTCGATGTTTTATTTTTCAGTTCTTTTAAAACAATATGACGTTGCAAATGGTTATTTTGTAAAACAATTTCAAATGATGTTCTTGGATTTTGTTCTAGGCCTCTTCCCTCTGTCAGCATGGCTCTCTGGCAAGGGTATACAGGAGATATCAACTTGCACAGTTTTGATGTATTCAAGCAGACTATTATCACTGATATTGCTCTGGGCCAAAACCACAGCCTATTTCTGACACATGATGGAGAAGTATTTGTCCATGGGGCCAATAGCTGTGGTCAGCTCGGACTTGGCTCACTGGAGATTGCATCTGTAGATGAACCTGTCAAAGTGGATGGACTATCAGGTGGGAAGATGTACTTTTGTTGTGGCTCGTCCTATTACATTAAATCTCAGGATTTTTCTATAAAGTTCCATTTAAAACTGGTCTTTCTTGAGCTCAAAGTAGTATAGTGAATGGAATGATGAATGTTTTCTCTTAAGATAATTTGGTTTTTGTTGGTTGCATTGATTCTTAACATCTCAGAATTGGCTGTCTTGAAGCAGATTAAAATATATTTGTTTAAGAAAACCAATAAGGTTGCCTTGTTACTAAAATGGTACATGTTCTGTACACGATGTGTCCAGGTTTTAAAAAAAATAATAAGAGTTTAAAGAATGTTTAATGAGGGAAAGTGGGCTTATAAAGAATTGTTTAGTTTATAACAAGTGTATGCTTCTTGGGCATATTGCTCACAGTGAGACAAATGAAGTTTGTACTTGTCATTGTCTTTTCCAGTGCCTGTGGCAGCCTGCTTGTTACAAACGCATTGCATTAACTCTTGAAACTCAATGTTCACAGGGCCAGCCATTGGGATAGCCTGTGGCAAACAACACAGTGCAGTGGTCACAGACTGTGGTCAGGTGTTCTGCTGGGGAGATTCAACGGATGGCCAGTGTGGTACCGGCACTCTGGACCTGGTGCTCAGTCCGACACGTGTGGCAGTGGAGATTCATGAAGGATTCTGCGCTCACGGCTTCCCCAAGCCCAGCATCGGTGTTGGTGTTTGCAGGGTAGCTTGTGGGGCTAGGCATACACTAGCACTGTCAGATGGTAAGGAGAAAAAAGAATAAAAATTTGATTTTTATTTAGTGTTAAGATAGTTCAGAAATCTTTATTTGATCCGTCTACAGGTAATGATGGGAAAATTTGACATGGTTAAAAAAAATTGGAGTTGGTTCTTTGAGATGTTCTGTATGGCTTACATGGCTATGAGGTTGGCTTTGATGTTTGCATGAATTACAAATATGTCTGTTTTGTGTAGAGACATTAAAAAATAGCTCGTCCATTCTGTTGCAAACTTTTCTGTGCTCTTCACTCCCCTCCTGTCATTTCTCTCCCATGTTGAGCCCTTTGTCCCCCCTCCTCTATCTTCTTCATTCTCTCCTTCCTCCTCCCTCCTCTCCTTCCTCTTTTGTCTTTCTCTTTTCCTTTCACCACCTCCTTCCTTTCTTCCTCCTCTCTCCTCCTCTCTCCTCCTCTCTCCTCCTCTTTAATTGCAGTTTTTTCCTTTTCTTTCTCCAGACGGTGAAGTTTGGGCCTGGGGCTTTGGTCCCCAGCTTGGTCTGGGTGAGCTGCAACATGCGCCAATCCCTCGCCGTGTTTCTACCCTGCAGGGCCGAACTGCTCTGGCTGTTTGTTGTGGAGAGTCTCACAGTCTCGTTTTGCTGCTGACTTCATCTAGCTCGAAATCTGGCACCCCGCAGAAGAAGGCGAAGACACCCGCTGGCAGCGTGAATGAAGACAAACACTACCCTGCACGATGTAGCACATGTAACAAAGAAATTTTCACATACACAGACACTAGTGATATGTGTATAGTTGAAACATTGCACGAATGTAGCAATGCAGACAATGTACGCAGCATTGATTCCACAATTGTTGAAGAAGTGTCTGCGTCAAGCTCTAGTAATGAGATTATTGGTGAGGCTAAAGAAGAAGTTTCAAATAATACAACCAAATCTACCACTGTTGCTACTTGTGACGTTTCCAAAGCTGAAACGGATGGAGGAAGAGGACATGACCAACCAGCAACAGCAGATGAGAAGCAGCTCACCTCAGAAGGGGGTGGTGGTGGGTCCAAGGAGAAAGCTAAACAGGCTGACATAAAATCAGAAGGAGGAAAATCATTAGTGTCTATAGAGTCTTCAGAAACAGCTCAAAATGCCTCGTGGGAGGAAAAGACAGGAACTGTTTCAGATGTCACTGAAGTAAAAAACCTTTCTGAGCCACAGGACACCTCCGTGCATTTAGACTCTTCCGGTAACTTGGACACTTCCAGCATTCTGGAAACATCAGGGATTGAAACGAGCATTCTGGTCATCCCCGGTGACAACCCTTTTGATGGAGACGTTGTCTCGCAGGAAACATTGCCGACAGTCCAGGAAGTTGGTTCAGAGGATGCGGAGGGTGTTGTCAAGCAGATTGAGCTGTCCGACAGGAAGCTGGAGGACACTGTGGCTAAGGATGAGGGCAATAAAGCAAGCCCATCGGGTGTAGACAGATCCGTTTCATCAGATTCTGCTGAGGTGGTATGGCAGCGACGGTCACAAACAGAGGAGCTGCCCGAGGGTGAGTGGGCATGCGGTCTGCAGCTCTGATATTTTTCTTAAAATATGAAGCAATCAAATAGAACAGTACAAATCTTTTCAAGAGCTTGATATGAATTGCAATATTTCCCAGAAAATGATATGTCCATTTTGTTTTACCAATGTAGTTAAGTCTATTCATAACACTGTACATCATGTGTAGATGTATTTTTATTTTTATTAGAAGGTAAAAAGTAAGCTAAATAGGTCCTAGTGTCTTCTACAAAATTAAGTGTCGAGACAAGTTCAGAGATGTTTTCTGTTTCTTGTAAAAATAAGACTTTTGGAGTCAGACTTTGCTTTTATAGGGCAATTGATATTGTGCTAGACAAGTGCTTCAAAGAAAATGTCTCTTAAGGACTTCAACATAAATTGACATGGGAGTCATATCTCCCATCTTGATCAGGGTGTTACTTTAGGGACAGTTTTACCAAATGCTCAACTTTCACATCCCTGTTAACATCGGTTTAAGACTAAAATATCCTTTCTTATGAGCACAGTGTTAAAGTCCTGTTTGTTAACATGTCGTCAGATGTACTGCCAGTTCAAAGGAGGGAGCGTGTCCGCACTCCGTCCACGAGCAGTGTCAAGTCATTCAACCTGATAGACCAATCAGAAGCCATGGATTACCTGCACCGACAACTGGAAGATGGGACAGAGGAGCTGGCCGAGTCTGACCGCCATGTCAAGGACGTAAAGCAATCTGAGGTCAAAGTGGGTGCACCAACTGATGCGGAATCCCCGGATAAGGGTGACGGGGTTTACAACATGATGGAACAGGTAAGGTACAACCTGTGTTTGTGTAAGGAGAAGATGCATTGTTAGTTCAGTTGGTGTCGAGCAAGAACGACTATAATTACCATGATTTGAATCCCACAAGTGACATTCCTGAACATGAGTTGTTTCGGGTTTTTTGAGGTTCCTCAACCATCTAGCTCGCTCCAATTGGAGGTTGACATTCTATTCAGAAGGCACCCGTCTTGAATAACTTTATGTTGTCAAAAAGTTGCATTGGAACCTTCCTGTCTTTTAACTGTTTATCTCCAAGGGGGGTAAACTCACAATGATGGGGCCCTTTTTTGTTACTAAATCTAAAAATGACAAAGGTGTCACAAAATTAAATTAAAACAAGTGATCCTATTTTGATAGTTCTTCATGTAATGAATAAAATCTCGGTAAAAGAGACCTGTGCCGAAAAATAGTTTGATGTCGAAGTTGTCGTAAAAGAATGTGCCTGAGCCGCTGTCAACGGCTCACCGGCACAGGGGTTCCAACGACGAGCCGCTGGGAGTGGCTTGCCTGAGATAAAGAGTTGAACAGGGGAGACCATTAATATATCAATAAAAAATCCTTTAAAAAAATTTTTTTTTCTTTGTTTGTAATTATTAACCTTAATGGAGGCTAATTCTCCAAATCCACTTTTTCTGCTCTTGCGCTCATTAGTGTGTAACCTATCCATACTTAACACTTCACTCTGTGCTCTCTGAGTATGCCTGGCTCTCCACTGAGTGCATTTCACAACCTCAAATATGAAGCAGTCAGTCTAATTTGTGTCCTTAAATTCACTCTCTGCCCAATGTATGCCAAACTGACCTAGTCTATTTTCCCTCACCGTAGATGAAATCGGTAACTAGCAGAGCCTTCAGCAGCCTTCACACTCTCTCGGGGTTTGCGTTTGGCTCCAGTGACCCTGAATCTCCCGACCAAGCTGCCCAGTCTGACATCACAAATGCAGGAGCAGGTGCTGCCAGGTCAGGAACTGCTGGGAGTGAAAGAGACGCTGGTGATCTTGACAAGTCAAAGACTTCCGGGAACAAATTGCCGGACATTGGGGATACTGAGATCTCAGGTGGGTCTATGTATTTTTACCTTCAGGAGACTCAATAGTGTTTTTGTTAGTGTGAGTCTTTTGCTTTGTTTCCTTTCTGTCTCTTGTGTGATTTGTTTCCTATTTATGAAGTGGAGATTTCTATTCTTTGTGTACTTGTACATGTATTTCTTTCTGCGTTGATGCATTCTTTGAAGTTGTGGTATGTTATTGTTTCCTTTTGTCCTTTTTTCTGTGCCTCTGTTATCTGTTAAAGCATAGAGTACGCCGATTTCAGAGACTGACTCAGTAAGTTCCGATAAGTATAAAAATTCCTTAATGATTTACAACTTGCCCCACATAGAGCTGGCAGACTGCAGGCGGCTTTAAGCACGGACTAGCGCAGTCGGCTTTATCAGAATCCAAACTACATTCTTATTACGCCACAAAACTGGAAAGGGCACCTCGCTGTCAACGCTCAATGACGTCACCCGACTGGACTGGGGACAATTTTAAATGGTCATTTCAGAGCTGGTGCTTCACAAAGACAAAAACTAATTACACTTTTAAAATCAGTGTCCTTACTATCGTCAGTTTTCCTCTACTTCTTTTGTATGTTTGTCACACTCTTGTGAACCCCTATTTCTGGGGTGCCTTGATAGTCAAAGCAGACTTTGTGCTACTGAAGCTAGAGAGGTTATCAGAGTAAGCCTGATTCCCTGTATGGACTTCTCTGTTGACATCCACCCATTGGCGCTCATATGACCTTTTATGCAGTTGCGAGCACCGTAAAAACTACTAACATTACTAAAAACTTACTTTAACTTACTGTTAACTATAGCTTAAGGGTTTCAGCAACTGCCTTCAAGATTTTGTCTTTTCTTTGAAAATGTCTTTGGACCTAATTTGTATAGATGAAGTTTTTCATGAAATTCCCTTTACCCAGTTGTTGTCAGAGCAGGATTTGATCTGACATCGTGGGTGGTTCGTGGGTGCTCATGTGTGGTTTGCTCCTTCTTTCCTGTTAAACATCTATCGTCTTTATGTCCCCTCCTTCGTTTTTGTGTTTGTTACTCTCTTGTAACACCTCTAATCTTCAGCGCTTATATGACCTTATTGTGTTGCAAGTGCAGTAAAACTCTTACTAAAACAAAAGTAGTAAAAAAAAAGACGTGACATCCCGAGTTTTTTTTTCTCAGTCAAGCAGGTTTGCTGGTGTGTTTTGTTCTTTCTTTTTTTCAGAGTTACTATCATCATTATTCTATCTTAGCAAAGTCTGGTTGTAATCATTTTGATTGTGAACTGCAACTCACAAATCACAGCAAAAACTCCACTCCCTTTCCTCAAGGTCATGAAATGGTCAAGTCGGGGACATTTGCTGAATGGTCCGAGGAGCTGGCCAATGTTGGGCATGACATGTCCAGTCTCGGGCGCGGTGACAAGCAGAGATCTTTACGCACCATTCACTTACAGCAGCGAAACCTGTCCCGAACCTCAGCCTCAAGTACTACAGGTGGGCTGCTCAACTCACTGATGTTGATGGGTTTTGTTTTGGTTGAAATTTATTATAGTGGAAGAAGAGGCTGGTTTTTTTCATAGTTTTTTTTTTT